ACCAGGAACCTGCAGGTTCGCTGCAACTCTTACTACTTTTAAACCCAGGCTGAAGACTCTTCTTTTTGCCGCTGCTTTTAATTGAACTATTCACATCTTAAACTGCACTGTAACTTTTATCCATGTATTTTTTCTTTTAGTGTTTATTTTATTATCTTTGCTTTTTAATGACTGATTTTAAATGCCATTTTCTTAATGTCTTTCATTTTTTGTAAAGCACTTTGAATTGCCTTGTGTTGAAAGGTGCTATATCAATAAACTTGCCTTGCCTTGCATTGCTTTTAAAATCGTTCTGTGTGACACGAAAAAAATGGCGAAATCGTGTTGGTGAACACAAATCAATAGATTAATTTCGTGACTATAACACGAAATGCCGTGAGACTGGGTTGCTTCCTTCACATTGAAGCTAACATGTTTATCATGTACACTTCCTTGAGTTAGCATGCTAACTCAGCCATGCCACCAGCGACGTTAAATACTCACACTGCTCTTCATATTGAAGGTACGTTTTGTTAAGGTTCAAGGCTTTTATTGGTCATCATGCGTACATAGCTACAGTGTAGTTATGACGATGAAAATCTTAGGTCTCAGGCTCCTCCAACAGCGCAACACAATAAAACTGAAAAACAGAAAAAATAGTGCAAGTAAATACAAAAAGAAAAATAGTAAAATAGTGCAATAAGAGTCTATATACAAGTGATTGGAATATGATATATTAGATAAATAATTTGTAAGTAGCAGCCAGATGATTGTTATGGATGTTCTTTACAGAGTTCAGGTGTTTAATAGTCTTATGGCCTGTGGGATGAAACGGTCCCTGAGTCTGGTGGTTTTAGTCCTGATGCTGCGGTACCGCCTGCCAGACGGCAGCAGACAGAACAGTTTGTGGCTGGGGTGATGGGGGTCTTTGATAATCCTGAGGGCTTTCTTCCTGAGCCGCTGGGAGTAGAGGTCCTCCATGGATGGCAGCTCCGTCCTGGTGATGTGCTGTGCAGTTTTCAGAGTCTTACGGTTGAGGGCGGTGCAGCTGCCATACCAGGCCGTGATGCAGCCAGTCAGGATCCTCTCTATGGTGCACCTGTAGAAGGTCAGGGTCCTCTCTATGGTGCACCTGTAGAAGGTCAGGATGCTCTCTATGGTGCACCTGTAGAAGGTCAGGATCCTCTCTATGGTGCACCTGTAGAAGGTCAGGATACTCTCTATGGTGCACCTGTAGAAGGTCAGGGTCCTCTCTATGGTGCACCTGTAGAAGGTCAGGATGCTCTCTATGGTGCACCTGTAGAAGGTCAGGATCCTCTCTATGGTGCACCTTTAGAAGGTCAGGATACTCTCTATGGTGCACCTGTAGAAGGTCAGGGTCCTCTCTATGGTGCACCTGTAGAAGGTCAGGATACTCTCTATGGTGCACCTGTAGAAGGTCAGGATCCTCTCTATGGTGCACCTGTAGAAGGTCAGGATGCTCTCTATGGTGCACCTGTAGAAGGTCAGGATGCTCTCTATGGTGCACCTGTAGAAGGTCAGGATGCTCTCTATGGTGCACCTGTAGAAGGTCAGGATGCTCTCTATGGTGCACCTGTAGAAGGTCAGGACGCTCTCTATGGTGCACCTGTAGAAGGTCAGGATGCTCTCTATCACCTGTAGAAGGTCAGGATGCTCTCTATGGTGCACCTGTAGAAGGTCAGGATGCTCTCTATGGTGCACCTGTAGAAGGTCAGGATGCTCTCTATGGTGCACCTGTAGAAGGTCAGGATGCTCTCTATCACCTGTAGAAGGTCAGGATGCTCTCTATGGTGCACCTGTAGAAGGTCAGGATGCTCTCTATGGTGCACCTGTAGAAGGTCAGGATGCTCTCTATGGTGCACCTGTAGAAGGTCAGGATGCTCTCTATGGTGCACCTGTAGAAGGTCAGGATCCTCTCTATGGTGCACCTGTAGAAGGTCAGGATGCTCTCTATGGTGCACCTGTAGAAGGTCAGGATGCTCTCTATCACCTGTAGAAGGTCAGGATGCTCTCTATGGTGCACCTGTAGAAGGTCAGGATGCTTTCTATGGTGCACCTGTAGAAGGTCAGGATGCTCTCTATGGTGCACCTGTAGAAGGTCAGGATCCTCTCTATGGTGCACCTGTAGGAGGTCAGGATGCTCTCTATGGTGCACCTGTAGAAGGTCAGGATGCTCTCTATGGTGCACCTGTAGAAGGTCAGGATGCTCTCTATGGTGCACCTGTAGAAGGTCAGGATGCTCTCTATGGTGCACCTGTAGAAGGTCAGGATGCTCTCTTTGGTGCACCTGTAGAAAGTCAGGATGCTCTCTTTGGTGATGGTGTTTGTGTGAAGAGTCCATGTCAGGTCCTCAGTGATGTGGACACAGAGGAACCTGAAGCTACTGACTCTCTCCACCGTAGTCCCATTGATGGCGATGGGGGCGTGTCCCTCTCTCTGCTGCTTACTGTAATCCACAATCAGCTCCTTTGTTTTGCTGATGTTGAGATGGAGGTTATTATCCTGGCACCAAGATGTCAGGGTTTCGACCTCCTCTCTGTACGCCGTCTCGTCATCGTCTGTGATCAGGCCGATGACGGTCGTGTTAACTTGACGCACATAATTTTACTTTTGAAAATATAAACTGTACAAAATGCAGATTTAAAGATTCTAAAACTGGACACATTTGAGGATTCAGTTTTTTATTTAAAGTAAATTAGTTTCAATCTATTGCATATGTTATAATGCAGACATAAAAAAGGAAAGTGTTCAGTTCAGTATAATAGTGATTTCATTGTCATTCTTTACATGAACAACATGCTTCAAACATTATCTAACCAACAAATCATTGTGTTTTTATTAAATAACTAGTTGAACATTTTAATGCAAGAAAAAAGGTTTGGTCTATATTCATTATAGAAGTAGATTATGTTTTCGTTTTGTCGGCAGGATAATATAAAAACTACTCGCTTGATTTCCATTAAACTTGGTAAAAGGGTGTAGCGTGGGCCAAGGAAGAACAGATTTGATTTGAGGCATTAGCACATTATGTTTTATTCTCTGAGTAAAGAGGGCCCTTTAGTAATACATGTTGATGGACTAACAGGCTAAAAACAGTCTGCAGTTCAGTAGCTCCGCTAGCAGAAATTCAGAGGGAACACTTGTTTGACAGAGTGATCCCCAGAGGTAGGATTAACATTTTAAATGATTGTAGTTATTTTAGACACTATGCTCAATGGATAATGACACTTCAAATTTCTCATTGCAAATAGGTGATGCCACTTTGAGCATTAGGGTGTAAGGAGAAGTATGGCTTTTGAGTGACCTCTACATGAGTCACTTTTTACTGAATCAGAAATGTTCACATAGGAAGTATCACAAACATTTAGTCATAAAGACGGGCATCCTTGAACTCTGTGGGCAGCTCGGATGCTCACACAACAAGTAAAGGCACTAAAGAAGCTTTCATAAAAGGTACACATTGGAATGGTTTGGATTTGTGTCTCAGAGTGATCTGTCTCAGTTCTTCCGAGAGCAACACTGACTCAGTGATTACATCACTGCCTTCAGCCAACTCAAGGACGCACAAAATCAATGCTCTTGATGCAAATGCACAGTGGGAATTAACTTTAAAGCTAATAACATTAAGCTGGGAGCGCTGCGATGTCGGCCCACATTGTAATGTTATGTAAATCTGACCATATGACAGCTTCATTTAAATGGGAGTGTGCCAGATTATGCACAATAGTGGCCCATTTTGCTCCCTCGTGCTCATCCCTGCAACCCGGTAAATAGCTCAGCCACTCATTCTAATAAAAAGACAACAAATAAATACAAACATTCAACAAATTTAGAAGCAGGGCCCTGGAGACTCGACGCTGGAATATTATGCAGAGGAAGAAATTGGAGAGTACACAATGTTGGCTGGAGGGCCCATCAGTCAATTTGTTGGTAAACACCAGATTTATGTTCAGTAAGTCCTCGGCTAAACTGCTGAAGGGCTCCTCTCTCCCTGTGTGTGTGACACACACACACACACACACCCACACACACACACACACGCCTCCAGCATATTTTGAAAAAAATGACTAGGAAATCTTGATGTTGCTTCTAGCAGAGTACTAGGGTGTGAGAATACGCTGTACTCTGAGGATTAGGCACTGTACTGTAAGCATCAGGTCGGCCATAGTTAAATATTTGTGTTTGATTTTGAATTCCATCCAACAGCGCTGGTGCTGATTGTTTTTTCCGACAAACAAAAGTGTTCCTTGTTTTGTCCACAGACATTATTTGCGCGCTATAACATTTCAGAAGGCTGTTTTAATTTAGCAATCTGCAGGGGAGAACATGCTCAGTGACTTACTGCTGATATGCAGCACACAAGTAAAGATGATTAAGTTAAGCTGGCCTTTGGAAGGCAACAGTAGGAAAAAAAACTTTCAGGAGGTCTTTAAATTATTCTAACAACTCCATCAGGCTGATCCCAGCAGTAAGCATACTTGAGTGCATTTGCTGAACATGGCCACAAGAAGAGGAGAGTGCACACTGTGTGTCTGTGTAATTAAAGCGTCGTCCCAGAGCGGTGTAGGATTTCTATTAAGCAGGTGATTCTCCTGTATAGAGTGTTTGGGGAGCCGCAGCCTGACAGGGGCAATGAATGGAGGTGTGTGAGCGCGGGGCGTTCACTGCCACTGAAGGGCTTTTAAATGACTGTTGAAGAGAGGGAAGCAGCCATGGGTTACTTGTTGGGAATAAATCCCTCTCATCTGCAGGTAGGCCGCTCTGGAGGTCACATCGAGGTTTCAGGGAAGCAGGAGGGGAAGTCAGAGAGAAGGAGGCGGATTACCTTGGCATTTCTGTAACTTGATGCACATCAAGTTACAGAAATGAACCAGCCACAAGGGGAGGGGCTGGACACATACAGGGCAGGGCTAAATAAGAAAGGGATGCGTTTTTAATATGCTCTCACATAATTGTATAAATATACTGCAAAAGACAGAAAAAGTACATAGAGACATGACGCTACTGCAAAGGCTTTATTGAAGAAAGAAAAAAGAAACACCAGTTGACTACAGGCCCCTTCCAATGACCCCCAACAGATGCTTCACCAACACCACAGGGTCCAGCTTCTCATTCAGACTCTGCTGCTGCAGCCTCACACCGCGGCTGAAACATCTTCAACTTCGGTAAAGAGTCATGGCACCATCTTTGAGGGAGGCAACATATGGAGCACACAGCAACAGTATGGTGACTGCACAGACACGGGCAGAAACAAAGACCGTAGACCACCCAAATACATCAAACTAAATAAAAAAAACAGTACGGTCTTTATACTTCTTTAAGTCAGATGTGTTCACAGACTGTCCATAATAATATACTGTAGCAACAGGAGAGTTTAAAACAGCTTTTATGGCACATGAGGTTTAACTCTGTGAACGAGTACACTTTGTACAAACATGCTAATAAGCCAATAATAAAATATATAACAATAAAAAAATGTCTAAAACACGAGAGTGCTGCCCCCTACAGTTTCCCAGCTAGCTGTTAACAGCCTGCCTGCCGTGATAATTCTCCGTGGGTTTGACCTGATGAGTGACATACATTTCCATCACACATTTGAGTGTGCGGCTTTAGAACAACGTCACATCCTTTACCAAGCCACAGCTCTTTCATCTGGACTTTAACACAGCACAGGGTGTTGTTAGCATGTGCTGCTAACAACACTTCTGATTGGTCCAACGTTAAATAAGAATTGTATATAAGCACTACTGCATGGCTTTTGTTCACCTGAATGTTTAGTCACTCCGAAATCTTTATTGTGACACACCTAACCCTGTGTGATTACCCCAGCCCGTCAGGAGGGGCGCTGTCAATGCTAACTGAGCCGGATCCCCAGCCTCTCCCTGAGCGCTGAAAACCAACAAACAAATGTGACATCATGTTATAAAGAAGGTCTTCTTGACCTTTGTTGCCTAACAACCAGTCCCCATCATATGGCTTACTGAGTCAGCTGCCAAACATCCAACCTCATGGCTCTGTACCTGAAAAAGAAAACCTGAAAAAAGTGTTTTCTGTACTAGAGAATATCTTTGTCCTCAAACTAATTATAGTAATCTATTTTAATAACTAGTTATATGAGATAAAAGGTGTTATAACAAGCCTTTAAGATCCATTACAATGCACTGGTGAGTTGCACTGAGTTCAGTTCGCCCAGCCTTGGATGGTGAAACAGTGTTTTCATCCTCATGTAGAAGATGTGTCCTGGCAAAGGTCTGATGAATGTTTATTTATGAATTATTTATATTATTGGGCTTATTAGCAAAGTTATGCACAGAGTGTAACCGTGGGTAAAACATGGCTCACAAAGCTTTGTAACCAGAGTAACTGATTACAGTACACATACATGTTGGTATAACCATCTGCTATCCTAATGGCACTAAACAGATAACACGACAACACATCTGTTATCGGGGCTGAGGAACACTGTAAACCAACAGCAGACCTTAATACTACTCAGATGTTGTTGTTTAAAGGCACCCTGTGGAGTTTTCCTGTAAACACCCAAATGCAAACAAAATGACTGAATTTCCTTTGTAAATAAACATTTGCAGAGTTGACTGTTTGCACACTTTAGCTGTTACCTTCCGTTACATGTTAACAGCTAACCTGTAGTCCTCTGCCTTTGCTGCTCCTTTTCAAACATGGCTTTCACCAACTGAGGATCAGTGGAGTAGCAACAAACCATTTCTAAATGTTTGCATCAGATCACCCCCGATCTGAGAGCCTGCAGCCAGGAACAGATTACAACACAATGTCTAAACCAAGACCCTGAGACCTAAAGAGACACAACATGTCCACACACTAACCCGTGTTTTCAAAGAGACGTTTTTGAGTTTGTTTGTTTTGAGTGTATTTTTAAATTGTTGTGACTATGTGTCTTTTTTTTGCCCGCTTGCGTCTGTGCTAAGTGATACACACAGTCACTTCCTGCAGAGGTTCTCAGGGCTGCACATTATGTTGTTCTTCATCGGTTATTCTGTGAAAAACTCATTGTTAAAATGAGACTGCACTCGGCCAGGCCTTTGCTCAATGAGAACCTAATCATGAAAACATGGTTCCACAGCTAGCGGTGAAAACTCCACAGGGTTCCTTTAACTCACAAACATCACATTGCTCTAGTAATTAAAAAAGTAACTATCAAATCAAACAGTGCTTGTCAAACGACTGACTCTTGGATGGAAAAAATAATAAAATCACTTTGTGGGAAACAAATGTCATGGTCCCTTCTTCGCCCATTACCTTTACACACACTAAATATAAAAGACAAGTGTCACTGGTACGACAACACGGACACACAGCACAGTGACACAAAGTCACACAGTACCCTATTAAAGCATCATTATACTGTAAGGACACTTGTGCTTTAATCTGTACAGGTAAAATATTTCCTTATTCATAAAATGTCTTATAAAGTGTCGATGCAATTAACATCAAAAATTGCATAGCCATTCCTAATCAGTTATTTCTATCAGACTTACAAAACAATCACTAATGTAATCTATGTCATGTCAATGAGAGAAAAAGTGACATCATTCTCTGCTCAAAAACCATATCATAAAACTCAGATAATAGGCCCTTTCTATTTGAATGGAATGCCCTGATTGTACTGTTCAGGCCAACAGAAAATAATAAAACATAACAGCAAGTTCAATTAGAAAGTCAAAGATGTATGTTTGTTAAAAAGGGAATGGCACTCAGCTGCTGCCTACTGAGGGTTTGTCTTTGACACACACTACTATGAGGATGACTGTGGTCCCGTTATGTTTCAAATAGTTGCACACAGAATATGTACACAGTGAATACGGCAGTTTAGATTCTTTGGTGTTCAGTTAAGTGTTTTGAAGTAATAAGCTCCTGTGATAATATGTTCCCTATTAGTGTACCGTATGTCTGTGAGACAAACACTAGAATGAAAAAAATGCTCTGACCAAAAAATGCTCCTAAATACTGATAAAGCTACAGTCATACACATATCTGCACCTGTCATCCATGTCACATGTTGGAGTCAGACTCCCTTCAGATCCAAAGAACCCATCGGCAGGACATTTAAATACATACGCACTCGGGTGAGGACATGCTGGAGGATTATGATACAAGATAATAACACTGAGTGAAGATATATTGTTTTACTGTTAACTGCTTCGTTTAAAGATTTGAGATTTTGGGAAATATTCGTTTTTTCTTTTGAGAGTCAGAACAGAAGATTGAAGTCGCTTTTTTATATGCACGCTGAGCACATGTGGACATATTAAACTGAGTTTAGCATAAAGAGTGGAACCAGTGAACCAGGGGAACATAGAGTTTTGGTGAGTAAAAACATTTTTAAGGAACTTAAAAAGTGAATTTTTATTTCACCTGTTCTTACGTCATAAACACAGAAGAGATAAATATCTAGATCTGAATAGGATTTTTCTTTGGCAGCAGGCTATCTGTATCACGGTTTTATTCTTGTCTGAACGCCTGCTGTATATCGTATAAAACATAGTGACATAGTGCATCAGATCAAAACCATTTCCCAAAATCTCGAACCACTCCTTAACACAGTTAAACATCTCACAGCCTCTCCTGCTGTGATGTACCGAGTCAATAGATACATGTGATGCTATGTACTGAGGGTGTGTGTGTGTGCTGAGGAATGCAAGCTTCTGTGGATGGGTACGTTTGTGAGAGAGCGAGCGGTGTGTGTTATCACAGGGGGGGGTGTTCAGAGGTCGGTGGTGGCCTTGGCGGTCAGGTCCTGGATGCGGCTGCTGTTACAGTTCTTGCAGAGGACGTGTCCGTCCAGAGGGTAGCAGCCCTGGTTGTCCCCCTCTGACAGCAGAGAGCCACAGTCCTGCAGGACACACACACACACACACACACACACACACACACACACACACACACACACACACACACACACACACACACACACACACACACACACACACACACACACACACACACACACACACACACACACACACACACACACACACACACACACACACACACACACACACACACACACACACACACACACACACACACACACACACACACTCATTATGCACGCTCACAGCTGAGACACAGTCCCTCTCTCTGTGCTCACACCCTAAATGAGACATTTAGTGCGTTTAAACCCAGCCAGTGTGTTTCAGGAGGCTCTCTGTGAGGCGGGACCAGAGTTTAGTTTCTACCAGCTGCTGATTCTCGAATATAACTTACGTAAAGTTATGAAATAGACGATATAAATATATGATAAATAATCTCTGAGATTAAAAAGTTATAAATTCACAGGGAAAAAACTGAAGGAACCACGTCGCTTAAATGTTCAAGGTTGTTATCTAGCTGTGCTCTGATTCCACCAATACAAATATCACAGACAGACCTGTGGAGGTGACTGTCTGCTGATGGTTACCTGGCAGAGCCCACAGAAGCTTTAGAGATGAGAGAAGGGGAAATGTTTCTCTGCTAAAGCAGTGTGTGCCAAACAGAGAAATATACACACACTTCTTTTTACATAATTCTTTCTCGATGGCTGTGCGCACGCACGCACGCACGCACGCACGCACGCACGCGCGCACACTCTGAGAATTACAAATGCATCTACTCATGTCTCCGTGGTGACGAGATGCCTCTGTTGGTGCTGAACTAATCTGCTCTGCTTTCCTTTGACCTTTGTGTCTGCCAGGCTCTGTACACACACGGCTCTTTGACAACGTGACACGTTACTTCTCTTTTCGCCAGCACGTCGTGTCGCAGCGCCGCTTATCAGCCAGCGCTGCTGACAGAGTGCTTACTGTGTGAGCCTGAACTTTGCAGAGGAGAGATGGAGGGAGGATTCAGACCTGGCTGCAAAGGTGACCCGGGAGACGAGCACGATATGCATCCAGACCATAATGACTGTCGACTACAGAGCTCAAACAGAGCTCACACACAGAACACACCTCGCAGCGGTAACACTGCACGTGGAAGTCTCGGTCCAGGGCCACGATCCGGACGGTCTCCTCCTGGCCCGGCGCCGGCATGATGGGCTCAGAGCACACACAGCAGCGCGGAGCAAACTTCCTGCAACACACAAGCAGGAAGAACAGGACTGAGCTCACAAATGTCATTTATAATAACTTATCATATTGATGCTGTTTGAGACTGTGCACACACAGCTAACGATGCTTTTATTATTGATTAGTCAGCCTGATACTCTCTTGAGTAATCGGTTACAACTGATGGGTACATATTACTTGACAAAAGAGAGCAGCAGAACTAACTAGAGAATGCAATTCCTGAAGAAATTGCTAGTGGGAATGCTTTATGCTGAAAAGCTGACGCTAAACTGCTATGCTGAAATGTAATGTGTAAGAAGAAAGTGAAGAATTTAGATTTAAATGATACATGAACACTGGGGGCTTGAATGTGTGATGAGAGAAGAAAAGAAAGTAAAAAGGCTTGGAAAAGCAGCAGAATATTTGAACTGCAAACTTTTGAACTAACTTGATGGCGAATGATCTGTCGCCATGGCAACAGCATTTGATGACACCCCATAATACGCTTAGATGCGTTGATGGCTGCATCGTTACCAAACCTGTGAAGTTTTGGGCCGTTTGGAACATTGTGTGTGTGTGTGAGAGAGAGAGAGAGAGAGAGAGAGAGAGAGAGAGAGAGAGAGAGAGAGAGAGAGAGAGAGAGAGAGAGAGAGAGAATGAAATGAACAGTTAGAACTGACTCTTGATCGCCCTCTCTCTCTTCTCTTAAACGGCATATGATGACACCCCATAATTGACGTAGAGCTGTTGAGGGCACGACCATTAACCATTATCTGAAGTCTGCTGCTCTGAGCATGTCAGTTGGAGTGATGACATCATCGTGTTCCATTACACAGGTGTTTATAGTTGAGCTAACGAGCTCTGTAGAGATCAAAGGTTTCATTGTTCTGAATGAGAGATGAACCTCTTACATGTGAACGTTTTGTGAACGATAACAGATATCTGTGAAATTTCAAAACGTGAAGCATGTCAAGGAAGTTGAGTATCTGAAGTGTAATTTTTGTGTACTTTCGGGTTAATAATGTGGCCTTTTTGGCAGTTTAAGAAAGGTGTGCGGCTGCTGCTGTGAGGAAATATCAGGCTGAAATTACAATGGGTTTTAATGGAGACATGTTGAACGTTTTTGTCACTTCATGCCCTCAAGAGGCATTTTGTTTAATTATTTTGCTTAATTATTTGTCATTTTTCAAGCTACGAGATGTTTTCCTACGTTTGTCATGAAAAATTATGTCTCAGGAATGTAGGGTTTGGGAATTATGTCAGTTTTAAAAAAAGATATGAAGGCAAATTTCAAGATTTCCTACCCTCTAGCTGTGACATCACGCACTCTGCCTTAACGAGCTGCGCAATGTTAAAGTTAAAATGTTAAAAATGTGATGAATTATGGGATGTATCTCTGGAATAATGAAAGTTATGAATGATAAAAGTAATAGCCTGCGATTCCCGACCGAGCTGAACATTTTGATGTTTGAACGGAGTTTCTGCGATGTTGAATGTGGGAGGAGAAGAGGGCCAAAATAAGTCGGTGGAATAATAAACTTTTTGTCCGTAGCATAACATATAGTTGGAATCAGCATTCCCACTAAATAATACGTTACTGCTGTAGTAAAGAAGCTATTGCCTTTCTTGTCAAATAATCAACTCCATCTACACAATGGAGAAAATGACTTGAACTTATTCCACTTTAAAAGTTGTAATGATACATTCTGGGATACACAGAGGTGTTAAAATGATTTGGATTTAGCTTTATGTTCTGGCAAAAAATACTACTATCAACCATCATATGTTATATATGTTTAATCTTTGGATGTCTAAAAACGTTAATGTATGGAGGAGTTAACAAGTAAATTAATCAAAGTTATAATGAAATAAATAAACATACATTGTTGTATTGTTGATTACGTAATGACTGTTCAGGTTTATCTTGTGACCCCTATAAGTATGGTACCACTGGCCAACCAATCGGTTAAAGCAGGGTCTCAGCTCTTCACACCAGAGTAAACATAGCACAAATGATTAACACCAATATTGCCCACACATGATTAAAGAGGTTTTCAAACAAAGGCACAGCCTGTGCATGTTTCTCTGTTTCATTATGCATGCACCTCACCACTAGAGGCTAAACTGTCTCTCCTCTGAAACGCTGCATATAAATGGTGTATTTGAGGAAAAGCTAAACATAGTAGGACCTTTACAAATACCAGAAGTGACTTTGAAATGAGTATGTGTGGGAATGCCTTCAGCAGGAAGAGGTGTGTCTAACAATAGGATCAGAGAGGATATGAAAGCAGGCTCAGACCTCAGGTCAGCTGACTGACGGCTGTGGACTCTACCTGAGACATTGACTGCATGCTGGGAATCAGGAAGTGAAGGAGCTTTGAGAAACCACAGTACAGTATTCTCAGAGCGAGATTATTCCTCGACACAAAGAGGCGCGCGGCTCAGGTCACACCTGTCATGTGGAATTAAACGACGGCCCAGTGCAGCTCCTCTAAAGCGAAAAGCTGAGCACTCACACCAAGAGCCCGCTGTTTACTTCTGTTTCCCTTCTGGTCACTGACTAAAGCAACATTTCTGGGAAGGTTAGGGTTATGCAATGGGTGGAGTGAGACACAATGACAGGAATTTACTATTACATTCATGTTAGCCACATCTTATAAGGTCATTGTGCTTGTGGCATTGCTGGCAATATTTCCCTGAAAAGAAAGCCCCATGATGTGATATCTAACTGAATGTGTCAGTAAGTAAATGATTTAAAAGCATTAGTTGATTTGGAATTGAGTTCTTAAGTAAAAGCATTCTTGTTGATATTTGTTGTTGTTGTACTTTTTAGTGCTGCATTTGATATTGAGGTTATCCAAAGGTCATGGAAATGTATCAGGTTACATTACTTTAGATTGTGATACTTAGGTTCAAACACACATCATATTTTATTGTAATGATTAGATTAGAGTTATTGTCCCCTGGGGGAAATTCCTGTACACAATAAATATATAATATATATAAACAACAACAATAACACAGACAACAACAGACAGCGCCACACTATATATAAATACATATTCAAAGGAACCCTCCAAACCAGTATTTTTGTTTTAAATGTATTGGACTGGTAGGGTACAGACTATTATCTTTTCCTGTCAACATGTATATATTTAACTTTTTAGTTTGGTATTTTTTTCTGTTAGGAGATGTTTATATTTTAAGTTTGTTTATTTTCTACTTTTCATATTTTCACATTTTGTGCAATGCCTTGTTTTAACATGCTGATGTGACATAAAAACTGGCCAATGTGGGAGTAAATCTTATCTTATCTGAACTACGTACTTGTGGAAGTCCTCGATGCAGTGGATGTGGTTGGAGGCGTCCACGGTGAAGGGCACTCCGTCCAGGCTGCGGCTGCACACCACGCAGGTGAAGCAGTGGGGGTGGTACGCCTTCCCCGTGGCCCGCAGGATGCGCTCCATGATGGGCTTACTGCAGATGGTGCAGGTCTCAAGGGTGTTCTGCACACACACACACACACACACACACACACACACACACACACACACACACACACACACACACACACACACACACACACACACACACACACACACACACACACACACACACACACACACACACACACACACACACACACACACACACACACACACACACACACACACACACACACACACACACACACACACACACACACACACACACACACACACACACACACACACACACACACCAACACACCACACACACACACACACACACATTACACAACACATCTCATGATGAATGTAATGGATCACTTACAATGAGCACTTGTCTGCTGATAGAGTTGAACCAGCACGATAACCGAAGAAAAGTTTTTCTGCATTTCCTGAAGTTTTGTGCCTTTGAACTTCCTGTTGCCAGTGTTTCACTTCAGGGGGCACAGCTACCATTCTCTCCCGTGCTACATATAAATCCACGCCCAGGACCTTTGGCTCTGCTGTCCTCAAATACCTCTGTATCTGAAGGAATCTGATTAGCACTCCTCTGGAAACACAAACACGCTCATTTCTCAGTGGCCCTCGCCCACACTTCATCCTCCCATATGCAAGAATGAGAGCAGTAAATATTTCCACTTTGTGATGACTGCAGGTTTTCTGCAGCCAGGCGACTGGGCAAGCGGCCTGGGGGGAGGGACGTGGTGGCCGCCTGCCTCTGACTTATCTGTGGCATCTCTCTTCCTTATATCTGCCGGGAGACGCCGTTTGTTATTTCAATATTTCATAAATAACGACCGCCTCTCTAAACAGCAATGCAATTACTGGGGATGGATATATCATGTGAGGGTGATCAATGTGCGGCCTGAGAGAGCTGATGGGCCTCGCTGCCTCTCGCTCAGGCATTTCCTGGATCTCTGTGTCTCTCTGCCCCCCGCCCCCCTCTCTGCGCTTGGCTGGGCTAAACAGTGCACGGTTCAGCTGCTCCATTGGTAGCAGAGCTGCTCAGTGTTTCCAAACACAGCTCGGGGTGTGTAGCAACACTGCGCTGCGTCATCGGCTGCCTCCAGAGTTTCAGATGACACTTGTGTGACCGCTCGGCTGAGGTGAACCCCCCCCCAGTCTGGCTGCCGAGCACGTGCACTGACATTTATAGTCGCTATGCTAATGAGCACAGCAGCTCAACAGGACGGGGTTCAGTGTCCCTGACATACCTCCATGTGGTGACTCCTCACAGCACTGATCCTGGGTCAGGCTAAGAGGGCAACATGAGACAGGCTGATGTATGACTCCAGGCTGTAGAAAAAGGTGGTTTGAAAAATGGCCGTTTCTTCAAAGCACTCCTGGAGAGGCATTATTTCCTGAAAAGCAATTTGTGCAGACAAGCTCTGCATTCTGATTCCTCTCTCTTTTTTTCTCCCCTCCAAGAAGGTAATAGAAATAAACATTATTCCCAGGGCAACATTTGTGTATAAACAATGTCCATATCGCAATCCTGCTCGATCCTGGAAGTGGAATGAAGCTTTTAATGAGCTCGCTGCACTAAGCCCCAGAGGTTTGACACACACACACACACACACACACACACACACACACACACACACACACACACACACACACACACACACACACACACACACACACACACACACACACACACACACACACACACACACACACACACACACACACACACACACACACACACACACACACACACACACACACACACACACACACACACACACACACACACACACACACACACACACACACACACACACACAGAGAGAGGTAGAGAGAGAGAATATGAGACGTGAGAATGAGAGTGGGGTACCGGCCCAAACAGCACTAAACCGTCCTCAACTCTTCCTCATCTGTCTACAATCCCACTTCCTTATTCTCATCTGCCCTTCATGTGGGAATACCTTGCCCTTGTTTAGCTTAACTAGAGCATATGATTTCACAGCACACAGTTCCTCCGGGCCATTGTAATGAGTACAGTACTCAAAAGACAAAATTCCTCTCTTTTTCTCCGATGGTAAGATTCTATGACCTCAATTCATTCATTCTGCTCAGCTTCTATTGTGTTTGTATTCACTCGTGACTGCTTTTATTTGGTGTAACCTAACATTTAGCATGCCTGTTACACAAATCTAATTTCAAAACAAAAAATGTACACGTCTTCTGCTCTGTGTTTGGGTCCGACCTCCACAGATGGTTCAGGATATTCTGCATGAATCACTTCATGCCCTTTCTGTCAGACACCCAGGTCCTCTGCAGTTTGCCACTAGAGGGCTGTATATGTCTGCGGATGTCCGGGTTTTGCTTCTCCCCTGACTAAATGTGATGTATTCAAGCATATGTACCCCCCCCACCCCCCCTTCCCCTCTGCCTCATACATTTCTCTAAGTGTTTGCCCAGAAGGCTAAACAAATGTCTAGGCAGATGAGGTAAAAGTGAATCTGGGTCAGACAGCCTCTTGCTGAACTGAGGGGTGAGTAGAGTGCGTTAAAGTCAATTGTGGCCCCCTTTCTTCAAAAAAAGTGATATGATGATCTCACAAAGAGCAGCGCAGTCCGGCACAGCTCCCCACTATTTAGCAACAATTTACCTGTCAGAGGGCTGAGTGAGCATGTGGGGGGGGGGGGGGGGTCCCCATGTGCTGGGAGACACCGGCCTGACAGCGTGAGACAGAGAGGAAAACCTCTCACATCACTAACTCTCATTCTGATGTCAATGGAGTGAGATCATTTAATTTATGTCTGTTTTCAATCCACTTGAATTCATTTGTTATTTCATTAGATCAAATGACACTGCCTTAGAGTGACTTTCATTTTAAACAAGATAAGTACAACTAAAAACCAGTAAAAGATATTACTGAGAATGTCTATGCTAGTATTTGAACACACACCCATTAGTTGACTAAATGACATGAGACAAGAAGAAGGCCGACAGCTCTGAAGATCATTTTCTTCATTCATTGATTATTCTCACAGAGCCTGTAATATGCAGTTTCCTGTATTCCCCCAGGACAGACATTACACAGTAGCCAATGCAGGAAGAAACAGCGATACAACATGTCCACATTTATACTAACCAGCGAGAAAAACCATATGAATAGGATAAACACAGGCACATTTAGTCACTTCCCACTTGACGATTAAAACAAGCTTGAAAACCATGTTGCAAATAAAGAATGCCCAATGAGGCCAGCTCATTTTAAGGTGAATAAACAATAAGTCAGACTCAAGAGATTTTTTAAATTGCTTCGTGTTACTGGTAAGTTGCATTGTAATTATGTTTCATGCTATTTGTAACCTTTCACAAGGCAAAGCCAAACACATTAGTCATATCAAAAACAATGCATGCAAACTCCTCATTATTATTGATGATATTTCATATTTGGCAAATGTTTAAGTTTATAATATACATACATTCATCACTGGTTCACACATAATAGGGTCCAGGATTCATCCCCAATATTTAAAATCTTCCAGAGGATTCAGCTACAGGTGCAACAAAGCTGGAACAAAGACTATTGTCCATGTTTTCAGATGAAACAGTTGGAATCTGCTGTGGCATATTGTTAAGTTGAAGCTGTTTACCATCTCTTCGGACCGTATCAACACACATTTCACACCTATCTGCTCTTTTTGTCTTCACATGGCAAAGTGGAGCTGACAGGAGGGAGGCAGGAGTTCAGAGGGACCGCACGCGATTTATGACCTGGCAGTCAGAGCGGGCCAAATGTACAGATGATCTGATTCAGTGTGTGTGTGTGTGTGAATGTGCTGGTCAGTGCCAGGCCATGCTGTGTGGATTAACTCCACACTACTGAAGGCAGCACGGTGATTTCTAACAAAGCGGGTTCAAAGGGAAGGCCCGCTCGCTGCTGCTGTGTTTGCGTTTCTCTGGACAGGAACACACACTGTGGAGAGTCAAATCCCTGCCTGACTGCTTCCTGAGGGAAGGAGTCTGCTGACCTAATGAACCTTGACAAGCAGCATGTCGCCTTTTTATCACTTAATATGGCTCATTCAAGCAAGACAACAGAAATAATCTTGCCAACAAATACATAACTAGAAGGGCACTCTGAGAGCGCAGAGCGCCACCAAGGCCCTTTGCATATGGGAAAATAATAAGCACATCCGCCCTGTGTTTTGAATCTGCTTCAAAACGTAATGAGTTCTTCCTTGGCCAATGCTGCACAATATGACCAAGTATTAGGAAGAAAACAGGCCAACAGCTTTTTCCATACTTAACAAACCAACCAACAAACATACAAACAAACTAACAAAGAAACCAGGAGTTCAATCTGTTCTGAAGTAGTGTATCTCTCAACAGGAAGTACTATCGAACACCCACATCAGGAAGAAGTATTGAATAATGGAGATGAAGAAATTGTGACTCATAGGTAGTTGATACTAAATAGAAAGTTACAAACTGCATGGGTCATCAAACATAAAGTCGCAATATACTGCAGTTTTTTTAAAGATATGTTTGACCAGAGAGGGCCTTTATTGAGAGACACAGTTTTGAATGGGGGGAGACCGGGTGGGCAATGCCGGAACATTCTGCAAGCCGGATTCTGCATATGGTCCGCCAGCTTTAACCACCAACTTTAATAATATTTAGTTTAGCCAAAGTTGTGAATACCTGGTGCTTTGATTGGCACCACCTTCAAACCGGCTGATCCCTTTTTAGTGGGTGGAGTAATGACACCGCTGACCACTGATTGGCAAAAGAGATGAACATCGCAGAGGAAGTATTTATTTTAATGTTATTTGATTGAATTGCATTTAAATTGAAAGGTGTTCCTGTTATTTTGTCCATGCAATAAAACACTTTACACCTGCTGCCCATCCAAAAAAAACCACTTACAGTAAGATGGCTGTAATGCACTAGAGATTTTAAATGTTATTTGAAAGTCATCTATTTATTTACAAAGCCATCCAATGCACCACTCCCTTACAACTCCACAAGTAGTAGAGTATGTGTGTGAGTTACCTCACTCA